TGTGTGTGCTGAAATGGCTAAACTTGTGCATAGCGAGGCTCCATTGTTCTGCGTGCTGGGCTGCCTAAAGACTCTCAGCAGCTGGGCTGCATGGTGAGCTGGGGCCCAGAGCATGCGGTCTTTGTTCTCCTTCTACCCTCAGCACACGCCTGAAATCTCGGGCCCCTCACAAATTCTCTAAAAAGGAACATGACACAAACATTGAGCCTTACTCCTCTAAGGATTGTATCCCTGAAGGCAAATATTTGAACTAGGCAAGCATGAGCACTGGTGGGGTCTGGATGGAAGATGAATCACGTGTGATTTGGATGTTGTGCATCATATAATTGAGTCCAGATTGCTGTAAGCAAATCACATGAACTGCTTTTTGAGGACAGATGAAATCTTGCACTACCACAAGGCTAAATTAATAACAAACATAAAAGAAGCAAAGTCTAAGAAACAAAGGCCATTTAGAAGAGCCAATCATGACCTGAAGAGACCACGTGCCTCCTGGCACAGGCCCAACACACTGGCACTGTCCTGCCTCATTTAGCAATACTGGTAAACCAGAGCTAGGATTGCCAAGCAAATCCCAGACATCCTTTCTTAATGCCATTTATGCCTTTCAATTTAGCAGTTATTAAAACATAGCAGATCATCTCATTTCATTTTCAGCAGTAATAGGCTAGTGGAGCTGTAATGGTGATGCTGAAAAGCACAATATTTCACCAGTCCACTATATAATTTGATATATTATTTCAGTCTGGCAGTCTCAGGTCAATTCTTCTGGGTGTTTTCAGTAATGATTGCCTTCACTCTCAACTTAATTACAGTACAGTGATCTCTCCAAAATACAGGCGTTATGGAATACAGAAGAATGATTGTGCAAAACTCCAGACAAGGGCTTGAATATTGATTTCATTCTCGGCTAACAGATTTCTATTGTGACAATAACCAGAGTACTGTAACCCACAGAGTCATCAGACAGAAAAATGGAAGCAAAAAGGAGCCTCGCTTGGATGCACAACCAGACTAACCATTAAAAATGATATTTCCAGGAAACATTTGCGAGTACACCAAATTTCAGGATCATCAAAGTAAGGCATATGGTATTTTTCTTTTCTCCGCATCTGCACGATCCACCCAACCACATCCACCCTCATATCCACACAACCACAAGAAAAGAAAAAGAGTTGAATATCTATTATTAAGAACGAGATGTAGATAATTACGGAGGATTTATAGGAAACCAACCCTGACTGGTGTTGCATAGATGAACACATTAGTAACTGACAATAAAGCAGCACCATTTACCTTGCCTGGTGGACACATTCCTGTCGTTGCCAGCGGTGAGGACCACTTGAGGGTGGCTCTGCTCCAGAACAAAAAGCTCGTCTTTGCCAACCTTTGAGCTCTTGCCGGACTTCATGGTTCCACTGGGACCAGAGGGAGCCAGGTACTTCCCAGTGCAGTCTCCGAAGGCAACCTTCCCGGACCTGAACTCCAGCGTGTACCCCGTATTCTTGTCAGGGTTTTGGGACAGGCTCCCGTCGTTCTTCAGGAACCGGTTGTCAGACGTCTGTATGTGAT